GTTTGGTTTGAAGGTTTCGAGCGAAATTTTTCAAGAGCGGTTACTACAAGCTGTTGACGACCTAGACGATGTAACGTGCGTAGCAGACGATGTGCTGATTTACGGCTCAACCGAACAAGAACATGACGCCAATCTGCACCACGTTCTGCAGCGATGTGTGCAAAAGCACGTAAAGCTCAAACGCGAAAAAGTTGAGCTCCGGAAATCGGAAGTGATTCTTCACGGGCACATTTTGATATCCGAGGGAATAAAGATCGATACCGGAAAATTCAAGGCAGTGCAGTAGATGGCACAACCTAAAAACGTCAAGGCTGTTAGTCGTTTAAATGGCATGGTGAATTATTTGAGCCGGTTCTTGCCAAGACTAGCTGAAATCATGACGCCCATCTGGAGACTGACTCACAAGGGTGTAAAGTGAAGTTGGGGAGAAGAGTAGCTAGCCTTTACAACCATCAAGAATCTTATTAGCTGTGTACCAGTACTTGGTTACTATGACCCAGCTCTACCTTCGGAGGTGCAGTGTGATAGCAGCCAAAAAGCGGAATAGGTGCCGTTCTCCTGCAGGAGGGTAAACCCTAGGATTTCCGCACTTGCGCGCTCACAGTGGCGGAATAGCGCACTGTGCAGGTCGAAAAGGAGATGCTCGCCACCATATACGTAATGGAGCAATTCAACGACTACATCTTTGGAAGGAAGACAACAGTGTATGCTGACCATAAACCACTCGTGTCAATATCTAGTAAACCGTTACACAGGGTCCCTCAACGTCTTCAACGGATGCTTATCCGGCTCCAAAAATACAACAAGGATCTGGTGTACATTCCGGGGACGCAAATGTTCATCACGGACACCGTCGAGAGCTCATCTTCTGATAGTCGAACACCAACAGGAAAATGAGGTAGTCAACCTCGCACAACATCTGGCGGTAACGACAGGTCGCCTGAAAGAGATAAAGCGTCATACGGAGGCAGATGTGACGCGCGTGGCGTTGCGTGACATGATTTTGAGGGGACGGCCAGATACAAAAGATGAACTTCCGAAGGAATTAACGTCGTTCTTCAACTTTCTGGATGAACTAACGGTATAGGACGGTTTGCTGGCTAAAGAAAATCGCATTTTGATCCCACCGCCGCTTCGTAAAGAAATGCTAGAACACGCTCATCGAGCCCACTTGGGTGTCAACTGCGGTATTAGTAGAGCACGGGAACCGATGTTCTGGCTCTGGGTGACAAGTCAAATCCGAGACCATGTATCGAGCTGTTCAGTCTGCGGGTCCCAAGAGGCTCGCCAAGCCATGAAATCAATGTTGTGTGAGATTCCAGATCGACCATGGCAGAAAGTAGCGGTAGACTTGTTCTGTGACAACGGGAAAGACTAGGTAATCACTGTGGACTATTACAGCGACTACTTTAAGATCGATCCACTCACCACCACCACCACCACCACGTAAGCAGTCATCAACAAGCTTAGATGTCAGTTCACCAGACACGGAATACCGGAGGAAGTGATCGCCGACTATGGCACGCAAGTTACAAGTGCTGCGTTCCAGACCTTCGCGAACAAGTGGGAATTTTCGCATCGACAAACGAGCCCGTAACACAGCCAGTCTAACGGAAAAGCAGAGGCAGCCGTCAAAGAAGCCAAGAGGTTGTTATCGAAAGCCAGAGCAACTCATGAGCATCCGTATCTAATGTCGTTGGAGATTCGCAATACGCCAGTACCGAACATCGGTTTCAGTCCAGTTCGAAATTTGTACAGCAGAAGGACAAGAGCCCTAATGCATGCATCTGCTCAACTCTTACACCCTGTCTCGCCATCGCATGAGCAACACCAAAGGGGCTTAAGAAAACGGATGGCAGATCAGAAACGGTATTACGACCGTAGGATCCGGGCGCTACCGGAGCTAGAAGTAAATGTTGGAGTGTGAATCCAACCAATACCGGGTGTCAGCGAACGATGGAAGAAAGATGTGGTGACCGCGAGGGTTGGAGAAAGATGTTATGAAGTCAGTACCGGAGGAAAGGTAATCAGAGGTAACACCGGGAACGAGGTGAACGTACAGCAAAACACTTGACGCCTTACGGGGAGGTCACAACGGCAGAAGCAGCAAAGACGACGCGCAGCGGAAGAGCTTAGGGAGTCTTCTGTGACACCGATGCAGATGAAGACGAAAAAGGGAAGGATGTGATAGGATTGTGCAAGCATGCGTCCAGCCTGTGGCAAACGAACGGAGCAGTTTATCGGACGCCTGCGTATATTTCGTCTGCGCGCTGATTGTCTCACTGGAGCGGGTTTGTTCAACTGACTCAAATTTTTTTTAAAATATCATAAGTGCAGCAGCGTTGTTAGTTATTGAAATGACTTAGTTACTTAGATTGAGGTTCTTACATGCTTGTCAGGATGTCACTTTTGTCGAGCTTGCTTGGCCGAATAAACCGGCTGCCCCTGAATGACCGAGTTTTGCGAGTTGTTGGCCTATGTGTATGAGAAGGTTGAATGATCAAGCAGGTAAAAACGGGCACATTCATGTTGCATCAAAATGTATCACACACAAATGGATGGCCGGACAACGTTCGATATTCATCCACGTTCTCAAGACTCGCCGCGAACGTTGTAGAAATCGCACCGGATCCGACCAGGACTCACAGCCATCGCACAAGCACATATGATAAGTCTCTCTCCTAGGTATCATTATTATGTGTACAATCATTTATGTTAATATCTAAAGTACTAATTCCATGACTAGTTCCGATTTAAGCGCCACCAATAACCTGATTCACATTTAGAAACGCCGTATGGCTTCTTCGGCAGAGCACTTCCGAGATCAGTTCAGTTGGCCGCCTGATCCTGCACCAGTTTCTTCTTAGGTGGTGCTGGCTGAACCATGGTAGGTTAGTTTAGAGGCTCTGTCGGAAGTTGAGGCCCCAAACGCAATCTTAGCTCTTAACTGTTTTCGTGGTGCATGCCCGGATTCCCTCGCACTGGCCTTTGTCGAACAGGTCTGGAAGGAAAAAACTATCCAAGCAAACTAGAGTGAATCGATTATAGTGGCGATATAAAAGAAAGGCAGGCCCAATGACGGTGGCTTAGCGCCGCTAGTGACAAAATTACTGGCCTCAATTCTTGTTCGTTACCACGGTGAGGAACGGGAATCCCGGAAAAGGGAACAACATGTAGGTTTACTTATCGGATATTATTATAAACAACCGGGTTGCCCAATTTCCCCATTTTTATTCAATCTTGTCGTAGACTCTATGATACCGAGTTCACTTGCGGAATCTTACGATGCTGCCCGGTGAAAGGCTAGTTGACCTTAGTTATGCGGACGATATCGTCTTGCTGTTTAATGATGATGGGGCGGCCCAAGTGACCCTGAAGAAACTCTCAAGAGTGTTCCATCATTTGGGTATGCGATTCGCACCTTCAAAGTGCAATGTGTTGTTATAGGACCACTAGTGAGGTAGCTGATCAATTTATTTACGTTGGCATCTGCATCAGTAACGATGGGCACATTACAAATGAAGTCGGTAAACGCTTTGCAAAAGCCAAAACGGTTTCCTTGAATCTGCTACACTTGTGGCGTCAGAAAGGATTTCTCCTCGGTCTGAGAGGCCGTGTTTACAAGGCCACAGTGAGAGACGCCCCATACTATTGGAGTGGGACATGGCCCCTTCGATCAGAAGATCTGCGGCGCCTTCAAAGCTTTGATCACTGTGGTCTGTGAAACATTACTGGCTTCTGTGTAGATTCGTCGCAGTTAGACACAGGCAGACAGCCATTACACATCCAGGAAAGCGCTAGACGGCCGTTTCGTTCTATTGGAACTCGTTAGTAGCGCGCACCCTCCGAATCTTGCCGGATTCGAGGCCACGACGTTACGCTTGCGAGTCAGCGACTTATGTCGCCTTAGCAACTCACATGCAACCTCGACTGGTGGCGGCTTGCAAAGGAAGTCGTTGCTCTGGGGGCCAGCCCTGTCCTTTGCACATCCACAACATGCAAGACAGTGGAGGATGAGCCGCGCAACATCGCAGTTAGATTTCAGTCCCCTGCCGTCGCCCATAGCTCAGTGACATAAGTCGCTGATTCGCAAGAGTAAGGTCGTGGGTTCGAATCCGGCAGGATTCGGCGGGTGCGCGCTACTGACGAGTCCCAATAGAACGAAACGGCCGTCTAGCGCCTTCCTGAATGTGTGATGGCTGACTGTGTCTAACTGCGACGAATGTACACAAAACCTAATAAATCCCATCTACTACTTACAAATAAAATTGCTCGGGTCGGATTGCACCATCGTGTCTGCAAGGATGATGTAAATAGGCGAATACTAAGCAGTGATAACAAAGATAGTAGCGAATAAATTGCGTTAGCTTGGACAACTACTGCATATGTCCGGTCACTGCTTAGTTAAGAGTGCTTTGTTTTGTCTACCAGATGTAGGGTGGTGCAAGGCTCGAGGTGGACAAAGGTTGAGTTGACAGCGGGAAATGAAGTCAATGACGACCAAACTTGGTGTCGTCGGTTGGTCTCGTCTTCCAGGCTGGAGTCTACGTGACTCGCCTTGTGCTTGGCTTGAGATGTTACTGGACACGGCTCGCAGTCCGCACCAGTGGCGTGTCCTAGTCGAACTGTCTGTTTGAAGTGTGTTTGGTGCTGAGTTATCTGCGCAGTAATGGCTGATTAAGACGCAGAGAAATGGAGGGTGTAAGGAAGCTGAGTCGCTGATGCCGCCTTATCTTTGCACGACAGCCAGCTGTTTGTGACGGTATGTTGTTGACACAGGACCCTTGATCCTGAATGTTTGTTTATGGCATTAAGGTTATACACATGCCGCGCTCTCTCTCCCTTTAAAAATTCTTCGTTCCATGGCGGCGAAGCATCAGTTCAAATGGCTGATATTGCATGGTAGCAAGTGGTTTTAAGCTGATGATGAACACACAGTTACACTGGTGTGATAGTTATATGAACAGGAAGGAGAGGCGCGAATGTTGCTTCTAACTTACCTCTGAAACTGCGGTTGTCCCGGTACCCTCCTTTGGGGCGTTGAACATCCTGAGAGGAAAAATATGAGAGAACGATGAACGTTACGTGGATGTAAGTCAGAACAGTCCTATACAGTGTGAATATGGAGAAAATAAGGGGATAAAAAGCGGTGTTGTTGGCGCGTATCCTCCGGTACAGTGACACAGTTAAATGAGAGAAAAGCGGGTATGCCGAAACCCAAGGAAAAATGAGCGATTGCAAGATTAGACATGTAAGGCGCCTCCTTTTAGTGGGATGTGGATTCTGATTCAGTGATCTTCTGAGGTAAGAGAAATACCAAATGACATGTTTAAAATTGTGTTTAGTGACAAAGTTGCTATGTAGCGTCGAACGTAGTGTCACCTTAAGTTTTCCGCCAGTAAAGACAAGCGGTTTAAGCGAATGAAGACAAAGTGAATACCAATCTCAAAAATAGTGAGGAAGCTGGCGAGCCGAACAAGCGAACACTACGATGTCACCTATGCGAGCTGGTTATGACTGTGGGTTGACGACGAAAAGAAAAGCGAATAAACCGGCACGAAAAACAGACACGAGTCTCCGAGGATGTTGTAGACAGCAATAAACGTATCATAGAAAGAAATAAAAGCCTTGACGGATCGCGCAACCTAACATTTATTGCGGGTTCTGAAGTACAAAATGAACCATATGACTGTTTTCAACGCTTAAGGGCTGTGCATTTCGTTCACAAATTTCGTGGATAACGTTAACCTCTCATCAGTTACGCTTGGACCAGTATTTGGGGCCATTCCAAGTAGGCGTGAACAACCAATACGATGTGACCAGCGACTCACTGTGGCGGTTACATCGAACTGCTAAGTGTTAATCAATTAGACGAGACGAAATATGCCGCATTTAGTCTACCTACCTCCACCACTGATTCATCCTTGACGAGTTTCGTGAAGTCGTCCACATGCAAACTAGGCGGACGACTGGTGTTGAGGGGTCGAGAACGGAACGGATCGGTGCGATTCGTAGCGCCGGCTAGACACGACCCGCCACCTGGACCCAGTAAGCTGGATGCGCTAGAGTTACTTGATGCGCCGGTGTGGTGGGCGCTGGAGCGAAGAAGGAAACCACGACCTCGCATCGGAGCCACTAAAAATAGAGGGGAAACCGAAGGAAAAGCAGATCAAATAACAAATGAGGAGAAGTGTGGTGGAATAACGAGCGGGGACGAGACATAAGTGGATCAGAGAAATATGCTGGTTTAAGCATACAAAATAACATGCAGAATGAATTGCGTGCTCGAAACCAAGTGAGTGCTCCCTGAGATTACTTGTGAGCGTAACCGGTTCAGGGACGATGTGAAATCAAGAGTACGTAGCACAGATGCTGTGGAGTGATCGATGGCAGTGTCGGTTTGGCGATTAGATACGAAGTGACATCAAACGAGGGTTCAAATTTGGTCCAGAAATATCTGATGATTGTCTAATAGGAAAGAAGCTTCGGGGAAGTTAGACGGACGAAAGGCAGTGGAGTTGGTTCCAGCCAAACACAATGTCGGGGCCTCGCAGTGCATGAAGCACTATTAAAATCACAGAAATTTCGGGACTCACGATTCGATGCTTTTGCCATTTACCCCACCAAATTTAGAAGCATGATTAAAATTGACCTGAGTGAAGGGAAGATTCCGCTGTCAAATGCAAGATGGTTCAAAAAGCGAGCCTTTCTTATTGTCACGTAACACGGCTGGCTCGAATAGCGTAAAAACTTCTCACTTCGAATGTGCCTGTTGTAAAAAGTCCTCAGCGTAGACTTTTTATGCGCCCACATTACTGATATTCTAAAAACAGTTGCAAGCATTAGACCAATTCCAATTCTCGGCAAAAGTTAGGTTCAGCAAGAGGCAATGCAACGCAATTATAAATTCAAAAGAGGTGGAGTAACAACAATGATCCTGTGAATACCTCAGCGAGTCAGGCATTGCGCATACAACATTACTGATACCTTGGTAAGCCCGTTGTCTTCATCTTGACTATTCTAAGGGTATATCAAGCGTTCCCATCTCTACTCATCTGTTCTACTGAAATGCCGCATATCCACGGGACATTTACGAATAAGTCTAAAGCAAAACAGCATTTGGAAATGCGCATTTTGTAGGCATTGGCTATATAGCACCCGCGCAGCATGTAGCTTGTTCGATGAGATGCACTAGTACGGTGGTGGTTTACTTGCTTTAACGCCAAACCGGCACATAGCCAGATGAAGCGTGGAATTGCGAATGAAGGCTTTTGTGGAACTACCCCGCCGTATGGAAGCAGGCCCTCAGAAGAGAGTTCCCCACAGATCGTCGTATAAATTCATCCGAACTTTTCAATAACCATTCTTTCTAACAAAGTTTATTGATCGAACACAGCAGAAGGTTATTTGGCAACTGCTTTGGAAAACGTGAACGAATATCCAGTCCATGGAACCCTGTAGCAATTTTTCAGACCACTGGAACAGCATAGCAAAACAACTCTACAGTAGGTATATCCCGCGGTGACTTGCGGGCAATCGATGGTGGATAATGGAAGTATAACGGCACAGATATTGAACTGCTATGTTAGGTGAAACCTCAATTCATCCAATATCAGCAAGAGGGACGCAAAATGTGATGAGGAGAGAAAATAGTAATACATGATGCCCACCGAATTTCTTCGAACTGCGCCCCATCTCGATTATGGAAGAGTGACCCCGTCGGCGTTTCTGGTGTCGGATCGCAGCCTCAGCGGAATCCTGTTGACGACCGCGTTTGGCCAACTCAGCACGAATGTTCAAGCCACCACAGCAGTCGCTAGCGAGCTTGGAAAAGTTGCAAGGCACCATGAAAGCCGAAGTCTCCTTGGGCTGTACATACTGAGGAAAGAGAACGAAGAGAGTGTAAGAGATACGGATTACATATTCGAGGTAAGAAATAGCTTAATCCAACGAACGTGTGGTCATCCACAGTAGAAAATGACGCACTGCTACAGGCCCAGCCTTGTCGTTATTCCCCAGAAGTTCGGGTGCAAAGGGAAGAAGTTGTTATGGTGTAAAAGTACGGGCTCGTACACCACAGTGACGTCGATGTACAAGAAGAACAACCGAATGGGCCAAGCAAGAGAATAAAAAGGAGCTAAAAATGGCAAGGTGATAAACAGGCGGTACGCAAGGAAACGGGAAGCACGGCGAAAGTTTGCTTTCGCAATCATTTAGTAAAACGAAAAGGATAACAGTTCAGTATAGTTAGATAATTATGGTCCGGACACCGAGGTGAGATGGGTCCGATTACCACAACTCGCATCGCCAAGAGAAGAATAATTAACAACGGTGAGGAAATTTAAGCAGAAAAATACAAAGCGAAGATTAGAAAAACGTGGGTAGCAATAAGCGTGACGAAATGTTTGGATAGAATAAACAAAATGCAGCCACGTTCCTGGGAACGTGATTGCATCCTGTTCGACGATGTCACCAAGCATTTATGTGCCAAATCCCGAGGATCACACTCACGAAAAACGACTCAACTCTACTTGGCTATGTTCCATGAGCGATCTTTCTCATGCCTTTCTGCTACAACAACAGGTTAGCAAGTATGTGCAATGATAGAATATAGAGCGCTTAACGGCCATTGGAAAGAACTGATTAACTTAAGCAGGGATGATGGATTGATTAAGAGGTCCATTTACGGAAAATCAACTTGGTCCGGTCAGTACCTGCATTTTACCAGCTTCAGACCAGTGTGAAGACTCTAGTTAGTCGTGCCAAACGAATTTGTTCGGCCGACTCTCTGAACGATGAGCTAGGGTTAATTAAAGCAACACTAATGGCGAACGCATAACCCTCGAAGATTTATCGAGAAACACAGCCAACGACGAGGGCCAAAGAAATTGATGCACACGGCAGCCAAGAAGAAAGTGTACATCGAGTTACCTTTCAAACGTGATTTAGCCACGCTGAAGACAATTAAGCGTATAATTTCGGCTACACAACTTGTCGTTATTAACTGAACCCGAAATTTGCCCAAATCTCAGCCTATTGGGGCCAACTCACTCTGTGTATACCAATTTGTATGTTTCTGCAGAAAGTTATATAGGCAGAACTAATAGAACACTGACTTTCCGAATAAAGAAACATGTACCAAGATGGGTTCAACGTGAAGTTGCTCAGATTGTCTACCCTCGTCAGATTCCATGTTCGCGCAGATCGCCGGCTTCCTCGAGAGGCAAACAGTTATTAGACTCGGGTCACCGGATAGACCTGGGCTCAGCGTTTAAAGTTGTGTTGCGTCACACTAGCCCCCGCTTCCATCGGTTTGCTGAGGCTGTCGCTATAAGCCGGATTAAGCCAGCCTTGTGTGTTCAGACACAATCATTTGTCAGCCTAAAGCTACCTTGGACGTAGGCGTGAACTTCCGTTATTCGTTCAGCACCTTAAGCTTGTCTGGTTGCACCCACTGCTAGCAATATCTATGCATATCGGTTATTGTTAATGGTACTGAGGAGACAATACGAAATGCATGCATATACCAGTCTTCGTCTTCTTTTCGTGCTTTTCAAATTGTTGAAGGGAACTAACTGTTTTAAGTTCTAATTTAGTCGACGCTTGAGTGTTCCACCTCAAGCACCAATTGTCGGACTTTAGTATCACTCACTCGGTGTTTTCACCAGACATGAACAATAATCCGCAAACACCGATGATCAAACACGACCAAGAGTTTAATGTCTTCGCCGCGAAGTGGCTAAGCCTCCGTGCCATACAGCAACACCAGCCACAGTGCAGTGTGGCACATCCTAAGAGAACCTGATAAGCTCGTCGTCCCTATAAATGGCTATGCCTCTGAAAAGGCACATGAGCTTCGCTCATTTTGATATAACGTAAACAGTGAGGTGACCATTAGAGGCGAGGAAGCTACTACTACTACCATATAAAATGTAGACCGATGGTACAGTGAGTTAATTTTTCTGTTGGTTCTTTGGATGCACTCAGAATCACATTTAAAACCATTTACTAGTTCCACTGCGTTACCAAAAAGTAGCACCATTAACAATACATCCCAGTTTTTTTCCCATTTTCGGACATCCGTGTCCACCTATCGTCCCCCCCCCCCCACAGACATTTGATCAAACATGCGGTCTAAACATGACACTCTTGCCCTAATGCGCAAGAAAAGGGCTATAACCGCAAAAGCATCGGCACCGAAAGTTCACGCGAAATTTGGCGAATGAATGCAAAATCGCTTCCCCTGAGCAACTGACTGAAGTGTACTCGATAGAATTGGTTCCCACTGAGAATGAAGAGAACATTCCAAACAGTGAATTTCGTTTGATTAATGGAACAGAGGCAAAAATTCATCCATGATCTCTACTGTCGGATAGCCACAAGTGATAATCACAATGAAATATAGGCAATCGGTGAACCTCTTGCGTCAATCGTTAATGAGATAAATGACTGCACTCACAGTGCTTACGATGCGGCAACGTAAAACCCCACAAATTGTCATGTCTTTGTGATAGAGCGTAGCACATACTGTTAAATCTGTGCAAGATATCACTTGGAAGCTGCGACTGCAAACGTTTGAGAAGACGCCGTCAAGACGATCCGACCTTACTGTCTTAACCTTTAAATGCGGGGAAGATATTGCACTCTCCCACATTAGAGTACGGCCACGCTTGACCAGACTTAAAATGAAATCGATACCATAAATAGTCCAGTCTACAACTGCTGGGACTCAAACTGAGTGTACTAGGCACTCCGTGCTACAGAGTACGACTTCCACCAGTCCGAGCACAACGTCCAACGTATAGCCACAATGCATGAATAGCAAGCGACCAAACAAACAATTCCATTCCCGAACAACATAGAAGACTGAAGCTGACACTGAATAAGGTACAAGTCTCGTTGAGAGCGCTGTTGCTCGTGAGATTTCAACTGATGCGCTGCACAGCGACTCCGATATATCGTAAACAGACAATTAATTCAAGAATGATGGCATTTTGCTTCCTGTTTCTGCTAACTCCCGTGATATTCAGCTACGAACACCTTCCGCACTCACTTAGTCACCAAAGAAAAAGCCATCCACAAGGGGGTAAAATGCTCCTGAATCCACGTGGTTCAAACGATTTGTGTCGTCACAATGATGAGGATAGACGCGAGATTCTACTAACAAAAACCATGAAGCATCTAGCAAAACCTCGAATCTAATTAGTAAGCATGGACTCCGTTTTCTCAGCATACGCAATCATGCCGACGTCCAAACCTGCTGGAAACGTCGCAACTCGCGATGCGCATGACAGCATTGGATGTGCTGACTTGTCAAACTATAAGGATGCCAGATACAGACAAAGTCCCATCTGTTACGCACTAGGATCAAATCCAGTTAGCATTCCAGTTCACTAAACTAAGCCTTGGGCATGTTGTGACGTTTTCATGTAGCTTGAACTGATTCGGGGAGTATAGTATATTCCTTACAAATTTAGGAACTACTAAACATACGATACCGCTATTAGACCCCTTCGTGGTCTCATCAAGCGTTCAGTTGACCCTCATCACAGGAACCTGACATTATACAAGTAGGACCGATGGAGAACCACAGATTTCCGGCAAAAGTGCGTTGTGCAATGGCCGCGCAGACCGCCATATCGACAGATGCTTTACATACGTCAAGGAAGTCCTTTATGCACCCATAAAGGGTGAATATTCAGCCGTAACGCATACGCTTTCAGCGATACAGAAGGAGATAAATGCAATTCATAAAGTGGATCAATAATTGAAAGAAAGAATATCATGATAGCAGACTCCGGTTTGTTAATTCTTGCAACGTGGCTTCCTTTGAGATTCTAGTCTTGGACAACTCAGAAGAGTTCGAGTGACTTGAGACTCGAGGAGAATGATATGACACGTGAATTGGAAGCCAAGATACGGAACTTTACGCAATAGATCAAACATCAACAGAAAACACGGTTGACTTTGTGTACATGGTTGCTGAACGAAACTCACCTCATCTGTAGCATCAACGGGGCGTGGTCCAACGGACAGACGCTGACGAGCTAGTGTCACATTTCGATGCATACTCGCTGAGGTACCGACATCACTTAGACAGACGAAATGCGGACGGGACGCAAACAGCTCTTCAATAGGACGAGGTTTGGGCAACATAAGTACATCATTCGCAGATACCTCGCATTCGGGCACATCCACCTCTTCGGACAATAGGGAGAACAAATTTTTCATTCCACTACGCAAGTACTCCAGCGAAGGTTCATCATCTGTCAGCATCTGCAGAGGCGTAAATTGAATGAGAATATGTCGAATAACCGGCGAAGCGCTTAATATGTATGGGATGTTAATCCTCCAGTTAAACGAAAAGTAGCGGTGCACACACGGAATAAACGAACCTCCAGAAGTGCGTGCAAATCACGCACGGCTTTACCTTCGTCTGCGCCGCCCGACCAGCCTAGAAAATCGCGCACCTTGGCTCCGGACACGTGAAGTGACCGCAGCCCAACAGCTGCGTACCGATTCACAGACTCTGCGGGTGCAAAGGTGAGAGGCAAGGTAGAGCGGCCCACCAACAAGGATTGCAGTAAACGAAGGCAACAGGCAAGGGTAACTTGGCAATCAGGGTTTTCCACGCTGAAACAATCGTTCACGCGTTGAACCATAGTGGCGAAGAAGTGATGCCCGTCGATTTGTGCGGCATTGTTATCCAAAACACTGGAAGAAAGTCAAAATGGATTAAGAGATATGAGCAAGTTTAGTTGTTCTGAGCCAACCTAAGGATAGAGGTAATCAAGAAATAACATAAAGGACCCGTAACGAGTGCTGGAACGCAGTTAATGAACACCACATCGTGTAGTGGTTCAGGAGCTTGGGTTGGGGCTTATATTTTCCGGGTTCGAGTACCTGGTTCTGTGTGGGTTCGTGGGTGCATACGGTGTCCTCACCACGAGGTAGCGAAGCACAGGAGCGTACACTCGGTGTACTGCTGATGGCCTGCGTCTCATTGGACGGCTATAAAACGCAATGTGGGCGCTTGGAGGGGATTGCGCGTGGAGTCAATCCTCAATAGATCAGTGACCAAGAAGCAAGTATGCGAGAAGATTTGACACGAATGAGCAGAATAGTGCGAGATAATTGGATGACCGCAATAACCCAACCCACATGTGCCAAAACAGCTTCCGAAGGAAAAAGCACTCCATCCAAGCAAGATGAGACAAAAACTAACGATGCCCAACATGAAGTAACAGCAGAAGTGACAGTGAGGTCTAAATCCGAATGTCCTGAGGTGAGTTCACTCTTGAGACATGTGTCAAACATGCGTTGTTTAGGTTCCAAAAACCAAGTAGCAATGCCCATCATATCACATATCCATAAATTGTGGCGAGATGAATGGGATGTCCTTCGTTGGGATCATTAGCATTACGGCGAATGAGAACAGATAAGCAATACCCCTAAACTGATGACACCAAGATTTTATGCACTTTCCGTCCGGGTGCTTCCAACGATGTTGTTAAAAGGATCTAACGACCTCCACGGGTTGGAAACCTGATTCTCAAGGTGGAAACAGTCTATTTCTACAGTTAAATGTTGTGCAACATTCCTTAAATGCGATTTGAATAAAAGCGGTTTAACTCTTGTCGGTAAACCAATTAATCGCTGTCGCACGATACGGGGCTCGACTTCAATGAACAAGTAGGTTAGGTTGTCGCGAGAACAAAACAGAGCATTGGATTGATGTTAAGGACTTTTACACCTCAAGAGTCAATGCTTCGCTATTATATCCCACTTGCTCGACCGCACTGTACTGGAACAAATATAGAGAGCATTCACAAAACGCTCTTAGATGCTTCTTTAAAACTGGAACATTGTGGACGGTGTTAGAAGTTTAAGCCCGATGCGATCTGGCTACGGCGCATGGAGCCCATCTTAGTCGTATTTTTCAACAACTTGCACAGAAATACCTGGTTTGTCCTGGAAGTAATTGGAATGATACAGACAATGTGGCTTACATTAAAAAATTGTCAAAATAGAATCCTTATGAAATCAGGCGGCGTTGCCAATGTCCTTTCTATTGTTTGTACGTATGCCCCCCGGGAACTCCTCCGGGATGCTGCGAAGGTACCTCATTTTTGCGTCAGTAATGATTGGAATAGTCTGTAAATGACATTATACATGACGCTCTTCAGCCGGGGAACAGAAAAAGACGCGCGGAGACAGCTCTGGGCTATAGGTAGGCTGTGGAAAGGTTGGAATTAGTTTCTTGGTCAGAAACTCCCTAGTCAACAAGGCGATGTGGATCGATGCGTGGTTGCGGTGGAGAATCCAATTCTCAGCAATCTCAGAATAGATGTAATGGACTTGTCAACCAGGTCGTTCGAGTGCTTCGACGTAAAATAATGTGCATTTGCAGTTTGTTCACAAGGGAACACAAAGAGCAGTGTTCTGATTTGCTCATGCGGGGTGATCTTTTCCGGTGCTTTTGACATTCGGATCGTACTCCAATATCCAGCACCCATCTCCTGTGATTATCATCTGTAAAAAGCTTGGCTGCGCTGCCAACGCTCCAACAATTTCTGCGAAACACGTTCACACGCTCAGCTCTGTCTGTTAGCACTTTTGGCACGTACTTTGGTTACACTTGTCGCATGCCCAATTCATGCGGCAAAATGTGTTGTAACGCTTCTTCTTCACTGTTGTAACGCTTCTTCTTTACCTCTGCTCTCTGCCACTGACGACTGTTGTACTGTTGCAAGCTGCCCTATGAGACTGCGACTGTCTGACTTCTCAGTCACGCGTCCGACCAACCGACGGAATACAGAAGACCAAGGCTCGGTAAACAGGGAGTCTATCTACACCATAAGTTAACTGTACTTATAAGTAGCCGAAACATGCTAATTTAGGAGGTCAAGATCGCATATCGCATGCCCAATTCATGCGGCAAAATGTCGCAAACTTGCTTTATGATATTGCTGAACCGCAGAATGCGAGTTTTGGTTACAAGTAAGGTTAGAACTTAGGTCCTTCTTTAAGGTGGAAAGAGTGAGTGTCAGGTGTGCGCGTATTATAGAATGATCGGAGTCTAAGCACAAGCTCCAAATTGACCGACAGTCTTGGGCTGATGTGCGCCATTTGTAGGTAAAATGGCAATATGGTCAATTTGGTTCCAGGTTACTAAGGAAATTGGTGGGCGCCAGGTGACGCGGTGTGGACGTTTGTGCTGAAAAGTAGTGTTATTATGTTAAAGATTGTGATTGGCGAGCAGTCGCAGGCATCGATCAACATTATCTGTTCGGTATGCATCGACTACGAAGCGGCCTCCCAGATGTCGTTCAGTGTGAAAGATGATCCAGCTGAGCATTCATGTCACTGGCAACAATCACGATGTCAGCACTTCTCGCCATGAGAAGAGATGAGAGCTATCGATACACATCGTCTTCGATATCCTCTGAAATGCATTACGTAGGGGGCTTAGATGCGATGAAAAGGTACCTTGTCTTCAAACGGTGCCTATAAACTATAATCGAGGTTCGAAGTTGAACAAGACGCATGTGGCCGTTTATTGGCATCCAGTTGAGTAGATTTCTTTCAGCATGTATGTTGACGCCGATACCAACACTATAAATGCCTTGAGCCATTAACTCAGCATCGCCAGTGACGCGAAGAGCGAAGTCATCGTCGTCAGATTTAGAAGCAGGGAGTTGATGATTCGTTGCAACGCCGTAACTTTGTATGCGTGTTTCGGAGACACATTGATAGCAAGAGAGTGAAGATTGAAAGTTGGCTGTGTTATAATAATGTATGTGAGAAAACGGTTGAATGTCAGCCAACTTCAATTCATTTCAGTATAACATTATGATGTGCAATCGTTGTCTTTCCAAACGTCATTAGAAGATCTGATGTTTTTATTTTCCTAATCCATTTGTGATCAATGTTCCACACAAGTATGTAGTTACCCGCTCACGGAGATACAGACGTGTCTCGCATGATCGAGAATGAAAGTTCATTTATTTACCTATTTACCAAACCATTCGATTAGCTAGCTGTGGTGCATTTGGTTTCAGTGATGTGACCAACGTCATTTTCAGTAGAGCATTTCGGTGCTGCTCCCTACCATCTTCGCACTCCACTACCGAGGGTTTCGTCCTGGTTTGGAATCATCAGGTAGTGATAGCCCGAGCTGGGAGTGGAACTCGGCACATAGTGGTTTGCGGCTATCACCACGAGCACTATGCCACTAAGCTCATTGAGCAGCGCTTGACACAGCAGCTAGAAGTTGGTTTATGGGGTTTTGGAGCACTCGCTGTGTGTATTGGATTGCGAAACGAAATCTCAATTGTAGTTTCGGTTGACACTGAAGTCAGCCTCTGCCAATACAATCACTGGGACAGTCAGGGAGCTCAATGGCCTAGTGATTGTGGTGACAGCCGCCAACCACTATGTGCCGCGTTTCACTCCCAGCCCAGGCTATCTCTATCTGAAGAGTTCAAATCAGGATTAAAGACGTCGGTTGTGGAGTGTAGTGTTGGGAGAAAGCAGCTCCGAAACTTTCTACTTCGGATGCGGTCCCAGTGATTGAAATGACATAGGCGTAATTCAAGGCAAACTGTAGCCAAAATCGAGATTGCGTGTCGCAATCCAGACACACGGAGGGTACTCCAAGACCCACTAATGAACTAACCGCTGAGTCAAGCGATGCTGTCATGGTGACCAAGTGGAAAGCAGTCAACTGTGCGGGCTCCCCTCTCAGCTCAAGCGATCTCTACCTGACGGGTCCAAATCAGGACGAAACCAGTCGTGGAGTGGTGACAGGAGAGAGCAGCTCCGAAACTTTCCACTTCGGTCGGATAAGGTCCCAATAATCGGAAGCCACAACTGAGATTGCGTGTCGCAATGCAAGACATACGGCGGGTGCTCCGAAACGCAAAACATTGTTCGCAGTATAGTCAGTAGGGAAATTCATTTGAGCTCGTGATAATACGCTGCATTATCCGTAGTAAACATGACCTACTGAGGGATCGCTAACTGTAAGCGTCATGTAAACTGAAGGATTGGGATATAACTAATCTCAATTCGCATCGTTCCCCATGTTTGCATCGGTCACGCTTGAAGCTGCATCGCGTGCGTCATGCAACACGTTGCACGTGTGCACTCGTGTGAGCCATACTCATGGTGGCAAGATGGCCACGTGATCTCACGTCGCGTGCAGAGTCCATGAGTATGACTCATACGAGTGCACACGTGCAAGGTGTCACATGACGCACGCGATGCAGCTTCAAGCGTGACGGATGAAAACATTTGGGGGGGGGGGGAGCGATGCAACAAATTGAGAAAGGTGTAGCACAGGAACAGTGTGGTCTAGTAGAAAAATTTTGCTATTAAATTACGCGGGAAACAAAGAATGACATGATAGAAGAACCAACCGAATTGCTATTGGACACACCCATAGTGGTCTGATATGTGACTAACGCAAAAAACCGAAGGGCGGAACATCCTAAACACACATACTTACTCTCGGACAATCGCAAATCCGTAATCATGTTGGGCAAGTAGCAGCAGTGGATACAACGCAGATGGCAGTGTTGTCATGTCCCGATCTGGATGGCTAATGTGCTTAACCAGAATGAAGATAATCTCATCGAGGAAGCAGACATCCGGTAGTCCTTCGACCAAGCGCAATTGCAAGGACTCAAACGGTTCCTCAGATGAGCAGACATCGTGCAGATCGTCCGCGATTGCAAAACCACCCAAAGCGATATCAGGGTGAACCATTAGTGCGATACATTTCTAAAAGACCACAGAAACAGAAAAGTTGATTTGATCAGTGATAAAGTGATATCGGATGATAAACAAACTCCAGGGTGCATCGTTGAAAGTGATATACAATTTTCTACCATAGTCTTTACTGAATCTAGCCCATGAACGGGATCCAAGAACTGCTCTCTGTTAACCAATCTCGAAGGTACAAAGAGGCCGTTCAAAGGTTGTCTTGAAAACAGAGACAGTTAACCAAGTGCTCAGAACTTGACCATGCTTGTCAGATCAAGGGAAAGCGGCAGTAAGCCAGCGAAAGGCTCGCGACGTGTGACGTTTACGGGCTGTTAGTTACCGCCATGGTTATGAGGATCGGATGAGTTTGGTAGACTAGAACACGGCGCTTGTAAGTTGCAAGCCAGGTGTATTGGGGCGAAAATCACTTCGGTGCCGCAAAACGGACTGTGTTTCGAACTCGTCGGCTCTAGGTTGGTCGCGCGACCACTAATTGCCTTACTCAGAGTGCCATCAATGGATATTGCGCATGGAAAGTCGAAGTCCCAGGATGATCAGTCGGTGACATTGTGCATTGGCATGAGAAATCGACGGACGTGCCCAGTGGCGCACCTGAACGTGCGATCTAACTATAATAAAAAATCATAATTGGTCACGACGTTGCTCAGAGACCCTTTCTAGTCCAAAACTACCGCTTAATCCCTTCGTTAGAAAAATGCAGCGACCTCAATCCAGTAATGATCAATTTCGTTCATTAGCGCTTTACAGCTTTCTTCGTGGCTGCCAAGCACTGCGACTATGCGGCAGGGCAAGTGGATTCTCGAAATTTTGATGTCCAAATGAAGTTGCCTAAACGAACATTGGATGCCGTGATGGCAAGTGGAGCCCAGAGCGCGAAAACAAAACCGATTGTACGAATCGACGGAAGTGAGCAAGAGAGAAATATGCGATGGGTAACAAATACAGATTACTCCAAAGTGGAGCAGTATATCCACAAAACGAAAGGTGAGTTGTACAAGATCAGCGCCATGCAAGGTGGCGAGTAGGTCGCTCGAATACGCGGTAGACCGGGCAAGTGACGGTTACCTGTCCTGATCGATGGCGAGCAATATTTGTGAAAAATAGATCAGGTGGGTCACGCAATAAACAATAAATGTGAGGTGGCGCCGTACCTCTCGCAAGATCCAAAAAAGGAGCCCAGAAAGCCAGAACGGGATAAACAGGCGGGTAAAAACAGCAGATCAGAACTCAGTATGCAAGAGCGGTGGCTAAGACGCACACATGTGAAAACTAATCCGTGTCTACAGACGTAAAGGAATTTTCTGCAAACAACAGTGAATGAGATGCAGCGGAGGTCGGATGAAGACGAGACAACTATAAATTGAGACCAGCGATGAATGGAGGTGAAGGACCGCTCAATAGCATTGAGTGCGTCCGCAAGCGGTAAAGGGCAGCGGACAGAAGTTTGACTAGTTGGTAAACCAACAGGTATTGGTAGAATAGCATAATTCAAACGGTAGATGTTGCAATCGCACAGTCTACGATGGAATGCAAACTGCAAACTACAGAAACTAACAACGACAGAGTGAGTGACTTACCAATAGAATGAGCTGGGTTCGAACATGACAAGGTTTGTCCGAGCATGCCAGTAAAATATGATGGGCGATTGATATGAACTGACGCATCCGTGTGCGACTTGCAACCAGATCCAACTTTGACTGACCTTCCTCACCGCTCTTAGGGCCCCTAGCAGGAGTGCTCCGATTGGGGGGAGAACTGCCAAGTATGGAAAAATGAAAGGTTGATGAATGAAACCGGGTGGGGGGAACAGAGAGGGTCACAAACGAACTGGTTTTTACACACCAACTGAAGAGAGAGCGCAGCCATCCCTTAGGCCGGTTAGTGGTGGCGTAACTTCCATGGAGACTATGGAGTTAGTGCGGAGAACTTAAGAAGCATGCCATCAAGTATGTTCCATAGATGGTCGATTCTATGGACGTTCCACGCAGTGCCGCCATATGTGCGCACCAGTCCAACATCCGCAGCAATTCATTTTGTTGATTTTGGACGTAGCACTGAGAAATTTGGTGTCATTTCGGAGGGATTATTTAGCGCCGTAACGACGCTTCGCTGTTGCGCAACCACCAGTCGCGCGCGGGCTGAGTATATCGCGAAGACGCCCACTCCTACGCCGACTCGAACCGGTGACCTTATGGTTGCAAAGTAAACGTGCAGACCACTCGGCCACCAGCCGAAGGTCTACCATGAAGGTCATAAATATGCTGTGCTGGAGAGTTGTTCGATGCCAAATAAATAATAGTAATAATAATAACAAGTGTAGTTCACAACGTGTGATAACGTATGTTCATAATCGATGTAAATCGTGTTGCAAAAGTGTGATCTGACTATTGCATAGACAAAACTTACATGAGTGAACTAGTCTATACATACCTTTTTAGAATGTGCGTTATGCCCCAATGAAGGAGGCAGAATGAAATTGCGGTTTAATGTGTATGGCTAAGAGGCGAGGGTTAAATATACAAAAAACTGGGCACTTCGTGGATGTACACGCTGGGAGTTTGACGTGCCTAGGCGATAGGAGGTACAAAAGAAGGATTGGTATCGATCTACAATTCTGCAGTCCGTGGGCTTTTAGAAATTGGGTGTAGGCATGGGAACGTTGTTACACAGTAAAAGCAATCGCATTAAACCAATCATGTAGTGGCTTGCCGACGTGGAACAGTTCAGTCTGCGTCACATATATACTCTGTTATGATGGCGCCTCGTGGGAGGGGGAAAGAAATGCTGACGCACCTCTACTCCTACCTGGTAGATATTTGACCCGTCTTGAAACCAACCATCAAGCGCCATTCGAGACTACAATGCGCAAGCTCACCAACCCTCCTTAAGCATGTGAGAAATCAGAGGGCCAACGACTGAGTTCGTGTGCATGGATGGAATGGAAGCCCAGATAGAGAGAGAAAGCTGCTCGGTTTGGCGTGCCTCGAAGCATTCGTAAATAGACTTATTTATTTATTTAAGTAGGTCGGTCGGCCGTATATTAGCCAAATATTGCGAATACATATGAATCAGCTTCCATTCGTTAGAAGAATTGGAAACAACCTGATGAAACTGACGGTAACAACAATAACAACAACAGTACGCCGTTATCGAAGGTTAGAGAAAATGCAATCGAAGTGAACCGGTTGTGCAGACAGAGGAGAGAGAAATTAATGTCTCGAAGGCATCTAGGTGACAATCACATGTCACAGTGATGCATACTATCACAGAAAGTGGGAAGGGGAAGAAAGAGCAAGTGCAAAAACTTAACCTCTAGTGCTGGACACGAGCATTTCGACCAAACGAGACAGGGCGTGTGCAGAATACTAAGAGCAGAGTGACCTCGCGGTCCTCACATATGTAGTCTCAGAAATCACGTTGAAGCGCAACTAAGGTCACGGAGAAAGTACCCGATGGGGTACCAGAAAGGGCTTGGGTCGCTTGGGCAAAATGCACTGGATGGATTGGATCCTTTGTAAGAATGTGGACATACAGCACTGTTGGGCAGCTAGTCGACGACAGTACAGAGAGACTAGTCCAAGAGGGAACATGCATTTTCCCCGGGAGAGGGATCCCATGCACATGCAATACGGCGCAGTCGCTCACGTAATTCAATCCGTTCAACCAATTTTATCCGCACCTGTTTGTTCGCATTTCGCTAATCACTGCTATCCTTGCGACGCCAATCATAAATAAATAAGTTTGTATATTTACCGACAAACAGTACATGGCTCCATAAGTGTGAGTGATCATTTGTATAGTGAATATGTTTGATGGCTTATGCGACATAAATTCACAATCGTAAAGTAAATACAAATAATAGACTTCCGAATCATGAATTTTCCCTCGGGTTCTAGACCCGAGCATCTAATATGTAAAATGTACCGATAATTGTATCATCATTTTCTAATTTGTTCGGTCCAGGATTAGACAATAATGGGTAAGATGGCTGTAAGCAACTAGCTGCTCATATGTTTTTATACTAGCTTCCATCAATGTTCCTAGTTTGTTTGGAGTCGAAGATCCGCAACATAATTGATATAGTGAGAAATGTCTGAAGGAAATTTCGAAATGTGACATGGCTTGCACTCATGCGGACCTGTAGGGGTAATTCGTTCCACAGATCAGTGTATCCCACTAAGAAGAAATTCGATCGAGTTTTATGACTTTCATGCCTTGTGCGTATCAAATAGTCGCCATTACGTGTGGGGTAGAGTGCAGTGTTCCGTATTTCAAGTGCGGTGCTGTCTGCGTAAATTCGTTGGTTTATAACGTTGTAGAACAGAACGAAGTTGTTCTTTAAGCGTCTTAGCCAAAGAGGATCCAGTTGGAGTTTTCGACAGCGATCATAATAAGTCAGGTTTGAACAGCGCCCCATGACCAGCTTGGTAAATGATCGTTGGACATTTTCCAGAGCTGTTCTGTCTTTCTTCCTCAATTGGCTATGAACGATAGTACAGTATTCCAGAGTAGGTCGTACTATTGTCTTGAATGACTCAAGTCGTGCTTCAGGTAGGGAGAAAGCTCTGGTGATATATCCGCATTACTGCATGGCTTTCGCAACCTGGTAAAGTACATGTTCGGAGAAATTGAAAGAGTTGGGGTACCTAACTCCAAAGTCCCGAAATGAATCAGACGTTGGGATCACGTTTCCGGCAAGTGTGATGGAGCCTTCTGGGATGCGGCATCTGTACCCAAGTACTTGGGATTTCATTGCGCAGAACTACATTACCAAACTTTCATTAGTTATATTTAGTTCGGACAGGTCTTCACAGATGTTTCCCAGGCACATTTGTAGTTGGTCTGGATGAAATGAGTAGACCAGTTTGATGTCATCTGCAAACAAAAATGGATGTCCATGTTTGATCGGGTCGCATATGTTGTTTACGTAGATTAGGAAAAGTAGTGGTCCGAGCACACTTCCCTGGAAGACGCCGCTGGTTATTTCTTTCGGTGTAGAATATTGCTGACCGATTCTAACCACCTGGGTTCGACCGTTTAGGTATGAGTCGAACCAGTTAAGCAGAGGATTTCCAATTCCATATGACTCTAGAGCAGACAGCAGTGGCTTGTGCGGCACGCGGTCGAACCACTTTTGCATGTCCAACAGAATTATAATGATTGCCATTCCGCTGTCCATCATAGTCGTGACGTGATCGAGGAATTGTAGCTGGCAGATAACGCAGGAGCGTTTTGAGAGAAAGCCATGCTGTGAGGCGCTGATCAGATCCAGCCTTGTAAGATATTGAACGATGTTCTTCTTGACTATTCTCTCTAAGGGCTTTGGAAGCAGCAGAGATGTGAGTTATTGGGCGGTAGCTTTACACTTTATTTCTCGTTTCACCCTTGTGCTTAGGCATTATAATGGATTGCTTCCATTGAGATGGAAAGCAGCCGGTAGTGAGAGAAAGTGTGAACATGTTTAATAACAATAGAGCGAGGTTTTTGCCTCCGAGTTTTATAGCAGTTGAGGAGATGCCATCTGAGCCTGGACGAGTTGATGGTTTTATGGCTGCGATGGCACTTTGCACCTCTCTTAACGTCACAGGGATATTACAGAATATCTCGTTCGTTCTTTTTGAAAGTAGAGGATGAAACAACTGATTGTTGGGGACAAAGCAGGAGGCAAAACTGAAGTTGATAGCCTCGCATATGCAGGAGCTGTCGCGGGTTATTGAACCATCGTCTAGAGCCAACGTTTCAATTTCCTGAAGTGGTTTATGGTTCCTTCTTTTGAATAGTTGTATCAATGTACGTACTTGCTTAGGATTTCTAGGTACCTGACTTTCTTCTTTGATTTGGGCCGTTTGGATTAGACGTTTTAGATGTAACAGCGCTACGTGTATTTGTACCAATGTTGTGAAGCTGTTGCTCCTGCGATATAGCGAGTTAAGTTTCTTCAGTTTGGTTGTGGCTTTGTACAGAAGCTTGAGTTTACTACTATGTTCATAGGTATTTCTCCATGCGATGGGTGCCAGCATAGCAACACCAAGGGCAATATTGTTATTAAACTCATTTTAGCCACAGTAGGGTTATTAGGAACGGGGTGTTTCAGTTCATGGTACAGATAAGTTCATTAAATGAATTCCAGTCCACATGATGAAGGTTGCGAATGGGTTTTATCATTTTACTTGGTCGTATATTTGAATCTATAGTCATGTCACAAAGCACCGTGTTGTGATCACAGCCTGGTAATGGATTATCAATGAATACATAAGCGAAAGAGATTCCCATCGTGAATACAAGGTCTAAGGTAGTGGCACTTCTGGTTGGCTCTCTGCCATGCTAGGTCCAGCCCTTGATATGAGTACAAGAGATGATTTCCTCAATCCCCATAGTGTTTCTGCGTGTAGGCAGCAGCGAGTTAACATGTGGTAGGTTGAAATCTCCACACATAATTTTGGATTTGTATGTGGTGCTGGAAGCAGCATTGATCATGTCGATTAGCTTTTGGGTTTCACATTGAGTAGTTCGGGGCGGCCGATAGATACAACCCACTAGAAGGTCAGTAGATGGGATCACTAGGCATAGTGTATCTTCTAAGTCATTGAATACAGGTTGATCTGCGGGAATTGCAGTCAGGTTATTTCGTAGATATATGGCACAGCCACCACCACGTTTATGTGAGCGATCCTTGCGGAAACGTTTATAGCCGAAGATGTTAGGCTGGGAATCACTAATTTCTGATGTGCACCAAGTTTCAGTGATAAAAGCAA